CGAGAATTTGTCGAAAGTACACGTATACTCGCCAAACTAGACTTCTGAATTCCCACTTGTGTGCTTGGTATGACGCTTCTCCATCCTGTTCAGTGCTCCCGCTGACTGAAATGTCTTTAAGTCTCTTATTGGTTCGTGTGTGTACCAGCCTCAACGTCCTTGGCCGCTACAGTTGCTTATCACATTAGACAAACAGAAGTTACAAGCCCTAGGCTTGGTAATTTTCGGGGAATTGGCCCAGACTGCTCCGAAATCGCGTCATGTTGCTCTCCCACTCACAACTTCCGGGTGTAATCATTTGGCTGTCGGCGCAACCCCGTCCTGACACCTAACGGCTACCAGGCACGTCAGATCCAACAACAATACGAGAGTTAGCACCCGCGCTTCATTTCTACACGCACACCCTAACGTGCATGATGTGCAGGGAATGCGTCGCATCAGACAGAATTTTGATGGCTCTGTATGCCCATAGACGGTCACGCAAAATGTTAGCCCGGGAAAAATTACCCCTCCCAGTCCTGCCCGCTGGTTTTGCCCGCGATGAACGCAAACGCATTCACCAGCTCACACGGGCAAACCAAATCCAGGGGAAAAGCGGCCTACTATCATGCACGTACTGATTGCGTGTGATCTGATGGTCGTACTCCGAAAGGGTAGGACTTTGCGGTGTTATGCGCCGACCTGCGTCAAAGCCTTTTTAAGATTGATTCAGTATTTGCGTGCGTAGGGGAAGTGCAAGTTACTCAGATGGTTGTACTGCATCTGACAAGTGGTAAACAGTTTTGCCGGAATTAATATCGCCAAATAATGTTTGCAAATTTAAAGATGTAGTTTTTTGGCCAGGTTTTCTGCGTAAATAACAGTCAACAGCGTTGTACAATGCGATATTAGTATCGATTACTTTGACAAACGCATGTTTTAAACTGTCGGTAAAAAATGCGCTGACGGATTGACAATGACCGGTTTTTCAAAATTAATGCTGGTGTTCCAAAGCTTTTGCGATTCTTCTTACGTCTTCTTTTTAAAAAAGAACATGCCCTGAATCTTTCTTACGTGTTGTGGGGATAAGCGCGAAGCAGGGGAGGCATGCTAACTTTCTGGAGTTTGGTGGTGCGCAAAAGCATGGATAAGTATTTGAACCAATTCAAATTTAGATCAACTAGATGTGACTCTCCTACCAAAATAGTTTAGGCATATAAGCTTGAAGCAGTAGTGTAATGTTTTAGAAGGATCTAACAAAGCTCCGGACCTCCAACTCTCATGTGAAGAAGAACAAAAGCGTCTGCGCATCCGAAATATCCCTAACCGATTTATTATACACTCGGATTTATAGGCATTCGCGGCAGCCATCTAAAGTACAGGGGGTTTCAGCCGCCAGCACGTTAGGGGGTGAGGGCAACTACTAAGGCAGACGGTGAGAATTAAGGAAAAGGTGTCGGTCGAAGTTGCCTGCTGGGAACTGAAGCCACACAGACGATTCGTGAATTAGATTTATAGCTATGCCAACCAGCCCGCCAAAGTAAATATGCTGATCTGAAAGGCTTTTACCTAAATGGTTCATTAGTAGGAGTTTTCGGCAGATTTGTATAAATCACTCGATCTAGTTGTAAAAATTCCTGTGGCCTCTGTGTGCTTTGAACCCACGACAGCCGCAATCTGAAGGCTTTAGTACAATCAACGCTCTAACTGCCTGAGCTACGAGGGACTATTCGAATCTACCAAACACCCATATTAATTATTTTTGCTTTGTAGTCACGCGGAAGATTCTGGATGGATTGCTTATGAAATCTTGTTTAAACAAGCAGCTCTCTGTGTCAGGTTCGGCAGATTCAATATTTTGCAATAGGCTGAGCGAGTAACTTAACCCAAGTGTGATTAGGCTCATGGCTGCCGATGGAGCCTCACAGATGAAGCGGTTACAGCATTGGTCCTTCCGTTTGCTGTCATTGGTTATTCGAATCCCAGAAAGCGCGCTGAGTTTTTCAAAAATCTGTCAAAACCCTACTACCTACTTAACTGCGTAGTACTAATTGCTTGCTGGCAGCCGGTAAATATTAAGCCGGTATTCCACAGTAGGTGATAGCAGTCAGATCAAATACTCATTAGAAACACATTTGAAAGCGAATGTTTGCTTTTAAGGTAACTGCATCGGTAAAGAAGATAGTCAAACACCGGAATGATTAGTTTGTTATTCTGAGCTT